CAGTCAGTGATATTCCAGTGCAAATGAGCCCAACACCACTGCAAACTGGCTTGACGTTGTACAGAAGTCAATGGTAGTTGGCGCAAGGGGTGCTGTAACCACAGCCCCCTTTCTGTTAGCCTTCTATGAATGGTCCTTGCAGTCACTGAAGCACTAGTTGCATGTACAATCGATGATAATGATGCATCTGGGGCTGTGAGTGCCATTCTGACAATTGCTCGGTCTTCACGTTCTGCCGTTTCTCTAGGCCTACCACTTTCTTCTTGATGCTGTGTGCGGCTGTGGTTCACCCATTCCTTCCAACATCGTCTAATAGTGGCATCGCTCCTGCTCAAATGTCGAGCTATTTGCCGATAAGACCAACTGGCTTCTTTGACCCAACTACACGACCTCTCTCAAATTCTGATATCTGCGCATATCATTCATGCACCTATATGCGAGGCATAGTTACTATCTACCAGATTACATGGAATGAAATTCGTGAAGAATTTATGACCTGGAATTGCAATTTCTCCTCTTAAGTATCCAGCCAGTTGCGCAGATCAGATGTGCTATAGCGACAACCGTTCTTTCATTGGCAGCCAAAATGTAAACCTATCAATTTGTGTCCTATCACAAATTGATAGGTTTGCATTTTGGTAACCTATCAATTTTTGTCCAGTTTGCTTTATATCTTCTCGGTGCATTGTTTTTTTGTCTAAGAGTGTACATATGTACATGCATTTCTGAATTCAGTGTCGATAACAGAAAAGTATGCAGAATTATTACAGTAATCCATAAATAATAAAGAAAATTATATGAAACATGAAATTAAATACCAGAGAGATATAAACTCATTAATGCATGAAATTTCAAATGCAAATTTCGCTAAACATTGTGTACAGAATTAAAAGATGTAGTATATATTTCACTAGTCTACCAGTGTTTGTAGTCAGAGGAATCGGATCACGCAGTTCTAATCTTTTGTTCTGGTTTTGAAACTCAGAGTTTTAATTTTAGTAAGAGCAAGCTTGTCTGGGTTATCTTGACCAGGAATTGGTTTTAAGTATGTGCTAAGTTACAACATGTATGTTTTTTACTATTTTTTTCTATTGGGACAATTTCTCCTACTTCTTTGGTATGATTATAATTTTTTGATAGCTTGTGTATGCTTTGTTTTATTTTTAAATCTTTATATTGTTTGGCGAAAAATTTATTTTTGAGAAATGAATAAAAAGCTTATGAAATCATATTTATAATTTTACTTCATGATCTCATTTAAAATGTTTAGTTCCTGTATTGTTTGTATGTATTAAAGGAGAAGGATCTGTTGGTTTGCAGGATCAGAATTAACATTTTGTATTTTAAAAACATGCTTCATTAGCAATAACAACCTTGTGTTTGACATAGATTTAGTCAATAACTCAATTGCTAACTTTATGTTTCACTGTGATGTATTCCTTTTCTGTTTTGTAAGAAAAAAAAAAAAAAAAATTGGTTCATATCGTAACATTTTAAAATTATTTTTAATTTTTAAAAGTAAGTAGCAGTAAAAAAAATATTTGAAATTGTATTATTTTTACTCTTATTTAGCTGTTTTCTAAAAAAATAATACAATTGTGTTTCCGCTAAGTTAGATGTAAATATGTAGTTAATAAATTTGTAAAAGTATCTTTTAAGAAATTTGTTAATTTTTTAGAATTATATTTCATTTATATCAATGATATAATAGTTACTTTACAGATATATTTTAAAACCTAATTCTTAATCAAAATCCAATTTTCAAATTAGAGCATTAAAAGTAACAACTTATTTACACATTCTTAATTATGAATTTTAATAGAACTGTAAATTTTATAAAACAGCACTGGTAAAATCTGAAGGTACCTCAGGCAGATGAAACTGTCTCTATGAAATTGTAGTGGTGATTCTCTCCCTCCCCTTCATTTAGCAACAGTTTTATGAGAGTAGGTAAGAAAGGTAAAGGGAAAAAAAAAAAAAGAGGTTTGAGGTAGTAATGGGTTAACAGGAAGGCAAAATACTTAACTAGAAAGTAATTTGTTTGAGCTGTTTCTGTATAATTTTATGTTCTCTTGGCACAACATTTGTATTTCTTATTTTTATATAACACAGTATTATACTTTTATTTTTATTTTAAAAGATATATTTGAATTGCTAGTATTGAACTTATGTGGGCTCTGTTTAAAGAAAATAGCATCACTATGTAATTACACATAGTATAGCTCTGTAACTAAACATAAGCTTTTAGGCATATGTTTAATTACTATGCTTGCTTTTGAATTCATTATGTATTAACAGTAGATGAGAAATTAGTTGTATTTGTAATAACATGATATCATAAAACATGCACTTTTAAAAAGAATGGAGTAAATTTAGAATGTGACATTGAATCCATTTCTTTGCAAGTATTCAGCTGTAACTCAAAGATGAATGGATTTTTATTCACACACTTGCAAAGTTAGATGATAGGATGCATTGTATTTATTCAGATGTTCAATAGGAACTTGAGTTATGTGTGTATATAGTCTGCAGGTGAATCATGGAAAACTTTTTATTCTCTTTTCATATACGTATTTTCAGTTTTTTTTTAGGTTAACTTTTGTTGTTGTTGTATAATGTACATGGACGTTTCAGAGTGTATTTAAATTTTGATTTTTATATCTCATTTTTTTTAAAAGGTGCTTTTGATATGAAAATGTATAGTAAATTCATAATTGAGCTGCATTTTATAGAGCAGAATAATTTTTTCAAGTTCTTGAAGTTAAATTCTATGTTAGGTTCTTTCAAAATTTGTTTAAATATTGATGACATTTAATAATATATATATATCTTAGCACTAATTTTTAAAGTGAAGGTAATATTTTCATTAATTTTGCTGTCCAGATTGACTAGCTTTCCCTTTATTTGTTGAAAATTGGATTTGCTGTCATTTTCAAATCAAATTAAAATGGTAATGTGTACCCTTCTTCCAGATTCATTATAATTTTAGAATTTGAGAAGTAATATATGATAGAGCTTACTGATGGACTGACTGTGAAATCACAGCACATAAATAGATAGTGAAATCTGTGATTAAAAATATTACTGATTTGTTATAGAATTATGGTATAGGTTTGTGGGTAAGTATTGTGCAAAATATGTCTTGAAAGATGCAAAAATCAATTTAAAGTTAATGAAATTTTCTGTGAATTTTTTACCACTTTAAAAAAAGAAAAAGTAAAGATGTCGAATCTTCAGTCATTTCAGAGTTGAAATTATGCTTTAATAGTTAATAATATAGTTATTAATATTTAATAATGACAACTGAGATATGCAATTTTTGTTGGCTTTTAAAAAAGGTTGAACTTATGTTGAAATATAATAATTTCAGGTTTGTTTTATTTAATTATATACGTAATGCTTTTCCTTCATGTACTCGTATTTATATAAGCTTATTTTATGCAATCATATTGCATGTCTGATTGAAATATGACGTTTAGTATTTTAATCCCAAGTAAGACCTTTAAAAAATTACTACTTTTTTTATTCTTTGCATTGTCTATCATTGGCTTCATTTTCTTTGTTAATCCCATGAAGCCTTATGAAACACAAGCTTGCCTGTGTCACGGCTGAGAAGAACTTGGTTATAAGTCTTTTCTATTTGGAAAAGCTTTTGTGAGAGTTTTTGTTTTCTGTTGAAGTGCATTCCAGAATATTTATTGCTGCATAAAAGAAAAAAAATCTGTACTTAACATTTTAAAAGAAACTCTTTAATAATGGCTTATTTGCCACAGAAACTAAATCCTTTGAATTTAAATGTTAAGGAACCTGGATGGAAAAGTCTTATCCAGAAGCTTGATATGGTGTCTTATCATTGCAGCATGCCTGTTCTGGAGAATGTACAAGTTTCTCTAAACGAGATTTTGGAGGTACGAGGTCAGCCTCTTCAAGAGTACGAACTGTGGGGCCTTTTATTTCAGGCTACTGAAGCTGTGCAAGATATTTTTCTGCGAGGTAACATCTTAATTACTTTATTAAACTAGATTCTATCAAGTCTTAATTCATTTAGTGCTTAATTTTGAAAATCATATATTTGACTTTAAGTAATTTATTTTAACTTGGTTATGTTATAAACTTCTAAGAAAATTTACCTTGAATTAACATATGTTTATTATCAAACAGTAAAAAGTGGAAATTAAAATATTCACACAGTTCAAAGTTTGAATAACTGAATTTTTATAAAATTATTTAAATATGTAGTTATTTTACCCTATTGTATACTCTTTTTATTTTGATTACTGATTTAAATTATGTAATCAAATAAACTTCTCTTCAGTTTAAAATGCAGGAAAATAAAGATAAATTATTAATAGTACTTTCCTGTTAATTATAGTATAGGTTATTACTTTTTCCTGTGTTTTCTTATCTGCTCTTTAGATTAATCATGATTTTGAGTTCACTGTATACAGTGCCCCTAACTTTATGTAAATAAATCAAGAGGTGACTATATAGTTATATATATTTTAAACTAGTGCAGTCAATTCTAAAGGTTATTTGTGAGATGAATTTGCATAAATTTACTTTTGGTGTAAAGACATTTATAGCCTACAAATATAATTGGTACTTTTCCATTTTGCTGGCACAAGTGATAAAGTCACCAAAAAATGGTACAACCAATGCCAAACAGAATATCCTCGCTGGTACCCTTTTACGCCTCATTTTCAAAACAAGTCAAGCGATTTCTTATCAGCTTAATTGTTTCTTTCAATACTAGCATACAATTACATACAATTGTTATCATATAGTTCAATTTTATGTCCTAAGGCCATTCGCGGTAATTAAGTCAAGGGTTGAAATCACGCTCACTCAAGGCAAATATAGAAAAGGCAAGTCAAGGTTTACATTCATCAATTCTATAAACCACTAGTGAAGTAAAGCACTGCAGGTTTACATAATTTCTGAGTAAGCTATTCGTACAAATTGAAATAATTCTTGCACTTGTATTCCAACTTAAGATTTAACTTGAAATTAATGTACATAAGTACTGAGAGAATTAGATTTTTGTAGCGTAGTTTACAAGAGATGCGATTACTTAGGGTTATGTGATATGAAACGGCGAATCAGGATATTGGACTATGAAAGCATAGTAAATTAGTTTTTTACAAATTTATTGTCTTTATTTATAGTCTTTTTGCAACATTTTAAACGATATTAAAATGCTTATGCCTTCAAAATAAAAATTTCTTAATATTTGTTAATATTTTTTATGTGTACACTGTGTGATGTCGCCAATAAAGTCTGCTTGGAGAGATTTGCGCTGGCGAAACACAAAAGTACCATATAAGAAATTTTGAAGTTTAAGCAACAACCGTTCATTTCAGAACTTAACGTTTTAAATCATTTTGTTATTGAATCCTATTAATTTTACTTTTTTGCATTGTGCTGAACTTCTTTCTCAGCAATGATTTTTTTCTTCTTACATTTTTAATATATAGTTAGTTTTTATAATTTAGATGAACTAAAAGCATGTTGTCTATTTGAATTGCTGTCTAACATGTTTTAAATATTCCATATTCTTGCCTGGATCTTTAAAAAATGTTTCTTAAGCATAATATAATATGGATAATATGGCATTGAGAATAATAAGGATTAAAAAAAAATATTTCTTTTTCATTTTTCAGACCTTTATATAGATTTTTTTACTGATGCATAATTTTTAGATCAATGCTTTTGAATTAGAATAAGAAAATAAAATAAAATAACAAAAAGTATTTTATCTTATTTTCTACAACATTCTAAAAACTGCTTTTATAATCTTCATATTGTAAAGATAAGCAATAAAACAATTTACAATAAATCCTGTATAAATACAGTAGTATTTAATATGTAGTGAATGAAAACTCCCCATTAGTAGACATTCCTGAATGCTAGGACCTTCAAGATAGAAGACCAGTGGACTACCGTTTAGCGAACACTGCCCTTGCTAACAGGAATTTTGTTGTATTTCATGTTAGAATTAAGCCATAAATTTTCTACCTTTGATTTTATTAAAAACAAAAAATACAAATTTTCAACTTTTAAAGTATATCTTTTAAAATCTAAATCTAAAATATTAATGAAATATACAGATATTTTTCATTTATAATTTTGTTTAATTTTAGGTCATGCTTGCAAAGATGATATACCTCTATATTTGGTAACTCCCAGTAACTTATTATGTACAGCCAGAGGAAAAGTAATTTTAAATGAATGTTTACCTGATAGCATGAGAGGCACAACATACTGGTGTTCAGAAATGGAGGATAAAGAATTTTATTCTGAAATTCATAATCTAGAGAAAGTAAGGAATAATTTATCAAATGTTCTTTTGATAATGATGTAGGATGCAATATATCTCCTTTAATTAGTTAGTTATTTCTTAGATGTCACCATTAAAATGTTTTTTTCCAAGTATGAAAATAAAAATATTAAGAATACATAAATAAAAAGGATTCTGTTAGTTAATCAACCTGTTAAATTCTTTTTTTCCATTAAATTGTTTTGACCTGTATATTAATAATTGTATCACATTAACATTTGCTTTCAAAAATAAGATGCACTATTTATAAAGTGCATCATCGCACAGAGGGGCAAATACAAAATGAAAAATCATGAGTTTAAATTTAAATACACTAAGTAAAATTAAAAGGTAAAATAAAAACACAAATTCCTTTCAACAGAGATGATGATGAGGGTAAAATACCGCAGTTGAAGCGAATTAAACTAAAAAGTTGCATTTGCTAATTTAAAGATAATAGACTAGAAATCAAAACTAACGTTCGAAAAGCAGTGTACTGTGGAAATTCATATTTCAAATTTATCCATAATAGATTTGGCAGGTTTGAATTTCACAAAGAATTCTTTGACTTTCTGTAAGTGAATTTTTACTCGTTCAAAAAAGGATAATTAATTTTCTGTGGTATTTTGCTGGGTTTTCTTTCTAAATCAAGCTGAAGCGTTTTCTGAGCAATTTTGTTCTTTGATGTTTGGTAGAGAAGAGAATTGGTCATTTGATAATGTGAATTTATTTTGAGAACTACTCTTATATGTGCCCTCAAATTGCCAAACATTTTTGGCGCCTCAATAGCCAAACATTTTTGGTGAGAAACTCCTCAGTGCCATAGTACTATCTAAATTTTTTTTCTACATTTTGAACTTTAAGCCTAAAATGTCTCCAAAAATGCGGTTTTCGCACATGCAAAAACCACATTTTGAGCACACAATTTAAACTAAAAATCCGAAACAAAAAATTTAGATAGTGAAAACGTAAGTTTTTAACAAAAAACATTTGACAAGAATCCATGTACACAGCGATATGTTTTAACTTAAAAAAGCATCTACAAATTGCACAATCTAGGCAGCGAAAGCATCTATGAACTACGCATATCAAGCTTTAATAAAGTAATATATAACAACAATAAATTTTAAAGAATACCATGTACACAGCGTTTTGTTTCAACTTTAAAAAACATCCAAGAATTGCACAATCTAGGCACTATGCACTAATCAACAAAATAAACTAAAATAACTAAAGTAAATTTCAAACAATTCAAAAAACAACAATAACAACAGAAATTCATACTAAAAAAACAATGAACATAACATTCTACAAAATAAGAACAAGAATAAAATAAAATGCACTTAACAAGAATGAATGCTTTTTTGAACAGCAGAAATACCAATTTCATGCCCCCACGTAATCACTATCGTATTTATATGACAGCCAGACACACTATCCAGAAAATTCATGCTATGGTTCGCAAATAAATGTTCAAAAAACCTTCTTTTCCAATCCTTGTAAGATTTCCAGCCATCCGAAAAAAATAGTTGTACAAGGCTCAATCCACTCTTTAATACACTGCATGTGTTTCCTTACTTCTATCATTTCTATCATGCACAGCCACTAAAAATAATCTCCCAAACCCTCTTGCAACCAAGTCTCTCATTGCAACATACACCATTTCAAAACATGCATGACACGAACCAACGAGCAATTAAACCAATCCACCAAAGGAGTATTCAATGTCAAAAGGCTTGCCATACAACATGCATTTGTGCCAAAAACCAGCGCAGAACACATATTGCCACATTTGGTGATCTTAGGGCGCTGATCAGAGTAGAGCCTTATTTTGATTTCCTTATTTTAAGGATTCTTTTTTGTTTCTTGCAGCTTCAATAGCTTTTTGAATATTTCTTGGGTGTTTAGCGCAAGTTTTGTAGGACGAAACTAAGGCACAAGTAGTACGCTTATTGTCTTCTTTCTTTTCTGTACATGTGTTCGTGAAAGAAACTGTTATTATCTTTCTTCTGCATACATAAGTTTTGTGAAATTGTGTTTATTTTAGGCATCTAGGTTTCCCATGAGTGTCCATACCACTGACACTTATGTCTCTGCACTGGTCCCGGTCTCGATTTATAAGTTTCAATTGCGACTTCTAAGCCTCTGATGATTCTAATTCTGTAAATTCTTTTCCCTTCTACGGATCTTTTTATGTCAACTTGAAAAGCTGGAACAATTTATTAAATTGTCATCTATTACAAATCTAAGTTGCCTGACTTTTAAAGCAGGTATGTTTTTACTGATCAGTTTCTGTTAGATTAATTCTGGATTAGTGTTGTTAGGTAGCTTTTTAATAACAACTTTTATGGGTTTCTCTGAGTTCAGCTTGAAGCTGTGAAATTGTATTTCTCTAGTTTGGAGATATTTAGTGATAAAATGATGATCGATTTCGTAAAGCCTTATAGTTAATGATCTCCCTTAAAGGTACGGTAATTTTTGATATTATTATTTTCCATTTCTATCTTAATTGCTTCCCAGTTTCCACTAAAATTATCCATGATGATAGGTGGAATGTTAATTTAGGGTTGAAATGGAGGTTGCTCCAAATTTTGACCATCCATACTGTCGTCTTGGTTGAGATTTGCAAATTTACTTGATTGTTTTATCTGATTTTGCAGTGGAGTTGCAAGTGGTCTTTTGACAGAATTAAGTGGGGATGCAAATCCTTCACTATCAATGAAAAAAAATGCGTTTTTTACACGTTTGATTAGTCTGTGAAGTGGACAGGCCATTTTCCACAGTGATAGTACAGTCAAAAGTCTTTAATCCGGACATTCATAATCCGGAATGATCTATAATCTGGACCTCAAAGCTACAAACTTTCTGTGCATGCATAAACTGATACATGCGCATAATACCTTTACTTATGCACATATGCGTTTACACATGCGTGTTTAATGTATAACGAACGGTATAAGCTAAGCTAAAATTATCTAATTATCTATTTCAGTTAATGTTGCAGATTGCGTTGTTCCTTAATCTTCGAATTGGATCCAGCTGATTATTTTTTGCAGACTGTTAGAGCAGTTTTATAAAAAGTAAACTTGAACTTTCGATTTGTCAAAAAAAAAAGAGTTTCCAATTCTGGAGCTGCCAAAGGATCTACAAAGCGAAAGCATTGTTTCAATGTCCATTAAACAAAAAGTGGAATTGCTGCAAAAAAATGGATAAAGGCATGAAGAAAGTGACAGAGAGGTGATTTGTTTCTCTAACCATTCCGAAATCTGTTTATCAATTTCACCCTGCTCTGGGAGGGGGGTTGATGTCGCGGTGCGCAATGAACTCAAAGTTGATCTGTCAGCACTATCCTCATCTTCAGAGCAAATGTTTTTATTTTATTCGGCTTATAATTCCTCGCTAAATGTAGTGTTTCATCTCGATGTACTCCAATATAATTTAAATCAATTTCCTCGTCATTATAAAAATAACGAATACACATCAAATAGTTTTCTGGTTGCAATTTTCTAATTTTGACTATGCATAATGTATGCTTTACGCATGCGTGCATTGAGAGAAATGTTTAATAAAGTAAACAAATAAATATTAAGCTTCTTTTTTTGTAAATTTTAATACCCTTTAGATCATAATTGCTCTTTATTTCATAAATTACGGTTTCATATTTTTAATTTTATAATTTTTACATGCCATTTTACCAGATTTAAACTGATGATCTATAATCCGGAAAAACCAGTAATCCAGAATTGCCGAAGTCCCGACGAGTCCGGATATAAGACTTTTGACTGTATTAGCTTTTAAGCTTTGATTTCTTTTGAGTTGAATCATCTTGTGGTTTTTGTAGCTCTGCTAGGAGTAATTTCAGGTTGTTAAGTTTGATGTCATAATCCTGGACTTTTTTGGCATGGATTAGATTTTTTTCCTCAGGGTCTTTCTTCATCATGAATTTGCGAGTTGTTGAAAAACTTCGCTATTTTAGGAGAGTTAATTCTGTGCATGACAGATTCAATTGTTGGAATCTGGATTCCATTAATATTGATCTCCTTTCCTTTCATCATAAGCAAATAATTAAATGGTGCAAAGATCAATATACTTACCGAAGGTCAAGTAGAAACTGGTATCTATTGCAAAAAGCAAAAAATCAAGGTAATGTAAAGCAAAATGAGAGTACAGTCAAAAATCTTTAATCCGAACTCGTCAGGACTTCGGCGATTCCGGATTATCGATTTTTCCGGATTATAGATCATCAGTTTAAATCTGGTAAGATGGCATGCAGAAATTATAAAATTAAAATATGAAACTGTAATTTATGAAATAAAGAGCATTAGATCTAAAGGTATCAAAATTTAAAAAAAAAAGAAGCTTAATATTTATGTTACTTTATTAAACTTTCTTTCAACATGCGCATGCGCACCTTACGCATAGTCGAATTAGAAAATTGCAACCAGGAAAACTATTTGATTGTATTCGCGATTTATAATGACGAGGAATTTGATTTAAATTCAATCAAAGACGGAGTACATCGAGATTAAATACTACATTTAGTAAGGAATTATAAGCCGAATAAAATAAAAACATCTGCCTTGAAATTAACAATCAACTTCCAGTTCATTGCGCGCCACGATGCCCCCCCCCCCCACGCAGAGCAGCGGGAAATTGATAAACAGATTTCGGAACGGTTAGATAAAAAAAGGATATGCGCATGTGTAAAAGTATTACGCACATGCGTAAACGCCTTTGTGCATGCATGAATGCATTATGCGTTGAAGCATGCACAGAAAGTTTATAGCTTTGAAGTCCGGATTATAGATCATTCCGTATTTTGGGTGTCCGGATTAACGTCTTTTGACTGTATTAATAAAAATCAAGCAACTGTTATCAAGCAACTTTAGAAATGTGTAAACTAATGCCGCATGTCCAAAAAATTATCATCACTTTTATAAACGGATCTCTTTCTGCAGCACGTTTCTGCAAGAAAATGTGCAAAGATTTTTAGTGTGGTATTCGCCATGTCATGTAGAATCATTAGCTTCAAAATCCCCAGTATGAATCAGCTGTTTGAGCATTAGTGCCATTTAATGTTTTAAAAGGAATGATTAAAATAATCAATTATAGTAGTGTTGTGTAAAAAATAAATAAATAACTGAAAGCAGTAAGTAGTTCATATACTACATCATTACAATTCTTTTTTTTTTATATATATATTTGTCTATTTGCTGCAACTTATTTAGGAAAAACGTTTACTTTAAGTATTAAAGTTTTGTAGACATATATCATAATATATTTCTTGCTGTGTAATTTCAGATTTATGTTTTCACACTTGGCCAAACAATGCTCTATGCTGCATATTATAAAGTACAAGACAATTGTCAGGTAAGTAAGGTAGTCAAAATTATGAAGATTTATGATTTTTTCTGTTTACTGAAGCTGAATCAAAACACTAAAGTTATAATTCTCCCCCCCCTGCACCCTTTCCCCAAACTACAAATTAAGGACATAAAATTATTTTGATTTCATAAAGTAATAGTTTTTGTAGTTACTTTGTGTTTTATGCCCTATATTATTATAGACAGTTAATTATCATTTCTGTGTATCATGTATATATTAAAGTGTGCAAATTACAGTACAAAGTCCAAGATCTGGACATCCAATATCCAGAATGATCTAAAATCTGGACTTCAAAGCCACCAACAATTTTTTTTTAATGATTTATGCATGCACATTTGATATTTCCTCCTCCATAATAGCATGTGGAGAGTCCCGATTATTAATTTCACTTCGGCACTAAATAAAATACCTCGTTATTAAAGAAACATTCATTTTAACTTACATTTGTGAGATCAATAATTTGGTTTCATAGCTGTGTATTTGCTTGGCATACATCTCAAACTTAAAAATTCTATATAGAAACATCATTGATTTTACACCTATTTATATATCCCTGATGCCAAATTGGCGAAGCATTATTTATTATATTTTGCTTTCATCATTTCATGTTTATCAACACATGACAACTTGAATAATGACTCGTGCAGTGTTTTTAGTAGATGAATAACAAAGTGCATGGTAACCTTTTATGTTGACATTAGCTTGGCGATTATTACAGATTTAAGTTAAATGCACTAAGAAATATTGATGAGAAAAAATTTTACAAAAATTTCTTTTCATACGTTAAAAATAAATTTTGTTAATGATATTCATAAACCAAAAGATTGCTATTTGAATTGAGAATAACTGATTTGTTCTCATAAATTCAAAAATGGTGCCAAAGCTCATATGGCCGCACCAGGCGGCGAAATTAAGGAAAGACAAAATTTTTTAAATTTAGAGAAGCAGTGAGCAACAAAATTAAGTGAATACAAAATTTTTAGAATTTAGGAAAAGCACTGGAACCCAAAATTTAGAGGCGTCAAAAATTTAGAACTAAGAGAGACACTTGATAGCAGAATTTAGGATCTGTAGAGATTGCATCAGGCAGTAAGATATCTAGTACCTGTCCTCGATAAGCCATAAGTATATGTGGGAATGTATTTATTCAGGACTCAGATAAGCCTTAAGCATGTGCAAGAAATAGCCGTTAGTATAATAAATAACTAAAATAATAAAATTGAGGCTTAATTGTGTCAATGTGGGAAAAGTCACAAAATTTAGCGATGCAACTTGTTTTTAGTCAACAATCTCATGATACATAGCCAATAATGTATAGAGGGGTCTGTTAAGCTAGACTAAAATTATACTTTACTGATTCCAAGGAATTTCAGTTAATATAGCTGATTACACTTTTCTTTAACTTTCTGATTTGATCCAGCTTATTATTTTATTTGTAGGCTATTATTATTACAGCAATTTTATAAAAATTAAAGTTTGAACTTTTGATTATGTAGAAAAGAGTTTTGAATTTTGGAGTTGCAACAGGATCTATAAAGCAAAAGCATGTTTCGATGCCCGTTAAACAAAAAGTGAAATTGCTGCAAAAAATGGATAAAAGTATATCTGTCTCAAAATTACGAGAGGAATATGAAAAGGAAATAATATGACGTAAGGATATAAGAAAACAGGAAAAGGAACTTTTTGAATTTTTTTCTGGATTCTGACACCCCACTCACAATGAATAAGAGAAAAATTATTCATTATGCTAAAAGTGACAATCATTACAAAGTAATGGCTGACTGGGTCAGATAGTGTCGCAGCAGCGTGCAATTGACGGTTGCAATGCTAATGGCTCAAGCCAAAATATTTCATGACGAGATGAACTTGAAAATTGGATGCACATACTCGACAAATTGGTTAACCAAATTTTAAAATCATCATGGTATAAGGAAATTAAAAATTTCAGGGGAAAAAGCTTCAGCTGATACTGAAGCTGCTGAACTATTTGCAGATGAATTCATTGAACTCATTAATAGTGAAAAGTTATTTGCAGAACAAATTTACCGTGCTGATGAAACTGATCTTTTCTGGCAATATGTATTGCAAAATACCTCGGCAAGCACTACAGAAAAGGCTCCAACTAGTGTCAAAGATTTCAAAGTGAGACTAAGAATTTTAGCGCACGCTGCAGGAATGCCCAAGTTTAAACTTTTTGTAATCAGAAGAAATACATGACCTCAAGCATTTAAAGGAGTAAAGATTTTCACCATTATGTATTGTGCAAATAAAAGAACATGGACGACACAAGCATTAATGAATGATTGAATCAAAAATCATTTCATACCCTAAGCTCGGCAACATCTGAATCCGGTTGGTTTACCTGTTGACCCAACAATTGTCCTGATTGTAGATTGAACTGTTCAAAGATAATGTGTCCGTATTATTCTTTTCTCTGAACTGTACGTCCATTATTCAGACTATGGATATCGAAATAGTGGGCGCACTGAAATACAAAGTAGCATTTTAAAAATTCGTGTTAAATTTCTTTAGTAAGACTATTCAAGAATTTTTTTAATATTTTAGCATAAAATCTGCTGTGTGGAGCATCACAAGATCATGGAAAGATGTGTCTCCAGGTACTTAGAAAACTGCTTGGCATAATTTATGGCCAGCTATCATATTTCATGATGATGATGATAGATGAAGATGAATTTTAAATTTAACCCGTTACTAAAAACATAGCATTAAAAAAAATATGGAGCATGTGACACATTCAGACACAAGGTTAGAAGAGGAATGATTGATTGTTTAACTGGCAAGATTAACTGATTGCTTAACTGGCAGTCATGCAGCCCTTGGGTGAGAAATAAGCATGGGTTGTTTCTATGTTTGTCTAATTCTTGGTATAATAGATTGTTTTTATAATTTTTTTAATGTATAACTCAACTATGAGGCAGTTTTGCTTAAAAAAAAAAAAAAAAGCTTCAACAATTGTCATGGCAAATAGTTCTAACTTATTTTGTGGTAACCAATTACCTGTGCATTAAATTGCATTTAATTAAATATCAGTTTATCAACCAAATATGTCCATTTATTGAATTACAAAAAATATTTGCATCATTTTTTGTATTTGCTGGATAATACATATTCATACAAATCTTGTTTCCTAAGTTATATGCCATATAAATTTTGTCATATTTCTTGCCACATTATTAGCTTGCTATATAAAATATTCTGATTCCTAATTTAGATCATCTTTAGTTAGAACAATGATAACATTTTATTTCTGTGATATAATGCAAAAAGAAGTAAAACTCATAGGGAAATTAGTTTCATTATAATTTCACTACGAGTTTTCCAGCTCATAGCTTATTATCTCATAGTGAAAGGTAAAATTAATATGTATTGCTATAACTTTTATAATGTATTTATGTAATTAAAGCAATATACACATTAACAGAATCATTTTTAATGCAATTAATAGTACATAAGCTACAAGTCACCACAAATAATAACATATCAAACTCTTCTTGCATTACATGTAAAACTTAGTTTTATGTTTCCTATATTAACACTTTACTGACCGATAGCCTATTGATCAGCTTTTTATTGCTAACTGATAGCGTATCAATTGGCTTTTTTTCGCCAACGCCTACTGACCAATAGCCTATTAATCGCTTTTATCAATCGATAGCCATGGTGATAAACAATTGCCATTTGCTTTATCATCTGCATTTTATTACAAGGGAGAATCTGTGGCTGAGTGGCCGGTTGGACATACGTATTCTGTTAAACTGCTAGTGGTCGGTAAAGGGTTGAAATATTTTGCTAGTATTTTATTTGGTCATCTATTAATCATTCTCATATAGATTATGAAAGCAGACAATAATGTAAATTGCATACCCTAAGTAATAAAAGTTATATGAAAACAGAGCTGCATGAGTGCAGAAAGTGCTGCCAGTTAATATTATTTCTGATTCTCGGTTTATTATTTATTATGCTTAGTATGTCTTGACTTGTTTTCTCTTTCCTTTCATAGAGAAAATTGTCGCCGTTAATCAAAACAGTTTTTCAAGCTATGTGTCAGAGTGATGTGGATTTACGTATGATTTTATCAGATGTTGCTCAAGTATGTATCTTAATAACATATATGTTTCAATTATAATAGAAGATGTTAGGAAAAAAAGTAAAATAATTATTATAAAATTTGCTATAATTAGTAGTGTGGTGATAAATTATGTCAGTAATTTAATTAAAAGTAAAGAGCTAAATTAATTAAAACTTTTTATTAGGTATTATGAAGGAAACTATATTTGAGAATCAATCTATTTAAAATAATGTTCCATTCTACATACTTTATTTTCATGTAGTAATATTTAATTTTATTTTTAAAAAGATTTGGTGCTACTTGAATTGCACTGCCCCCCCCCCGATATCAAAATGATGCCAAGATAATTGCCAAGTATAAATTACTTGGCGCATATAGTTTGTGGCTGCCATAGCTCCACAGTTATTTTTAATGTGTTATCAAAAGACTTATCTTTCCCAAAGAATTTTGGCCGCATGAATTTGGAAAGATACAACTCTAGTTAATGTCGAAATGCACCCTTTTGCCTTTTGTTTCGCTATTTAATAAAGCCTCACAATCTTTCCACATTTTGAGTGTGAGTATCTGTTGTTGGATCAACAAAATTAAATATGTAATTCCCAGTTAAATAGCTGTAACCAACCTTTTCAAGGTTTTCTGTGTTATAGGTTCACTAACAATCTGAATATATTGTCATCCTACCACAACATGGTCTGCAGTTGTCTACAGTTGTTGATGTGCTACCTTCCCGATTTGGGACCTGAACAAGAAAGCACTAGCTACTTTTATTGCTTAACCTGCAGAATATGCACTGTTGGGAAAGTACCCTGCCAGCATTTCTTTTTTTGTCACATGAATAAACTCTCATCAATTTTGAGTATTTTTGCAGGGCCACTTTTTCGTCCTTTAGATCGTCAAAGTAAATCTAGTGAAAAAACCCTCTCTCATAAAATTATTCTAGTCATGGTATTTTGAGAGATGCTGAGCTGTTTATCACACTTCTTAATAGGAATGGTATTGTAAAACCATTAAACCAGTTGTTAGATCGATTTTTTTTTTTTTGTTGTTGTTTTTGTTTACAGTTTTTTACTTTGCACTTGCGTGTACTTTTATTTACATCTAGTTTAATTTTATGGTTTATTTACATATGTTTGAATGCGAGTTAATATACCTTTTTCTTGGGAAAACAATATGGCTTCTTCCCCACTCCTCTGTAAGTTAAAAATTGTCAACATTTTTTTACAATGTTTAAATTGAAAAAAAAAAAAGATTCATATGATATCTTTTGGTTTGTCAAATTCAGCAAATAAAAGTCGAAAGTAAAAATACCATTTTTTTACATAATTTGGCAAAATTTTTTTTAAATGTTTAAATTGAAAGAATACTATTACGATATCATGCAGTTCGTCAAATTTGTGAAAGTACCGTTTATTGCATAATTTGGTGGTTTATCATGGAGGGATGAAACTAAAGTAGTACTAACAATTATTTTCTCTTGCAATTCCCCCCCCTTGGGTCTCTGTAAGATGACCATCTCCATAAAAGGTGAAATTATTTAGAGTCATCAGTTGTCTTCTTAGAAAGAATACATTGTATTTTTTTAAAAAAAAGAAATTACAAAAGCATTTCTGTTTGTTATTTATTTCATTTTTTTTTTTGGTTCATATTGTATTTTGGTAGCTAATGATGTTTCCCCCCCACTAGCCATTTTAAGCATTGACCACTGCTAGAGCCAGAAGCGGTGGCCACTTTATTATGGAGGCACCTAATAGGTGGGCCATTATTGCCTGCTATGAAGGGACAGACAATTATATCCATGCCTTCCTCAGGATTTGAGCCCAGGTCTCTCAGTATGGCAGTCAAAGTCCATCTGGGCTTTGACTTCCACTTTTCCATCTGGGTGGTGCAGAATGTGTAATATTTAAGTATAGAAATTTTGATTTGATTGAGGTTTCATCTGAAATAGACAATTTTTTACAACTCCCTAAAATTTACCGGAAACTCTTAATCAAACTAAAATTCATTACATAAAAATCAAATAAGATGTTTTTGGGGGGGGGGGCTGTCAACAAGCGTGTTTGATGTAAAAAATTGGATTTGCCTATTGTTATGCTTCTAAAGATTTCTATTGTTTTCAATAAATATTTCAGCTCTAAAAGAATTACAATTTTTCATTACCAAAACATGTCAAGGAATTGATATTAGGAATTTATTTATTGGCTAAATAAATGTGAATCAATATTTTTGTTGCAGGTTTGCAGCCTTCATGCAACTAAATATATGAATGGCTTTACATTTGCAAAATCTGTAGCTACCTTACATCGTGAAGTTTTAGGAAGTTTACCTGAAGTAAGAATAGCTTAAAAAAAATAAAATTCTGAATTATGTTTTAAGTTTTTTTTTGCAGTCATTATATGTATACAGCTCTGCCTTCATGTAAAATTATTTGATACCGTATTGAATTGAAAGTTGGGATTTATTTTAGTCATTGTTAACTGATAATTTGATTGACTTTGCTATTTTACTGACAGTCTGGCAAGATATAACAATTTTTTTTAAGCAATAAGTAATTTGGAAATAGAAGAATGAGGCTGCAAAGAGGATATTGATTTATCAAGCATATAATATTAATAATTTCAATAAGTGATATAATTCTAGTTAATTTTGTGTTTTGATAAAAAAGCAGATTTTTAACAAAATTCTGGTTAAAAATATTTTATGTAATATTTTATTTCATATTATATGATGCATTATTTAATTGTTAATTTTTAATTAATATCATAAAATAATTAAGAAAATAAATAAACAGTCGGTTTTAATAATTATTAAAAATTATTCTAGTTTTCCTGTATTATTCTATAAATATGACTGTACTAAAAAGCCCGGCGGTCATACGAAATGACTGCTGTTAAAGATATTATAAATTGTAATTAAAATGATTTGTGCAAATAAGTCTGCTAATTCAAACTGAATTACCCAGGACAGGTGGCGAGAATGCCCCTTTGCTTACTGCCCCACGGGGTTTCCCCCTTCTACTTGCTTGCTTAATTGCTTAAAGTAGAGTGCAGTGAAGGAAACCACTGGCAGTACATTTTTTTAAGAGCCACCGCTAGCTCAATAAATAAAGGTGATTTAAATAATAAATGTTAATTCACATGTCAAGATCTCTTTGTACACAACATTCTTGTTAGATCTTTCCATCATTTTTAGCTCGCCTTGCAGAGGACCATCAATTATTTTAATTTTACGTTTTTTTACAACTCTTGAACAGCAACCATAAAGTTGACCATGTCCAAATGCAGGCTCAAGTAAAAAATGCCATCAACACGCTTAAACGTTTGGCTCTGAGACTTGATGGTCATAGCAAAGGCAAGTTTACAGGAAATTGTGTACTCTCAATTGAAACGGCAACCTGTGCCATGGCAACTTCATCCCATTGGCTAGGTATGCAAGCAACAATAAACTATCGGTGACAAACAGACCTTAAACCGCATATAATAAAAGATATATTATTTCCTTTTATTTGTTTTTCATCGTTGCCAGTTTTCGCCGGTTGCATTTCCGAATTCTGTTATATACAGATGTTAAATTTATTTATTAAATTTTAAATGCATGTGCTCTTGTATTTTTAATTTTTCCGGCGTAGCTTTCTCATAATATTCGTCACGTGCTGCACTGCACGGGGAATAAAACAATTTACAGTTACATAAGCAACCAATAAACTATCAGCAACAAACAGATGTTAAATTTATTTATTAAATGTTAAATGCACATGCTAGAATTATTTTTTATAAAAAAACTAGAATTATTTTTAATAATTATTAAAACCGACTGTTTATTTATTTTTAAATTATTTTATGATATTAATTAAAAATTAACAATTAAATAATGTATTTTTAATTTTTCCGGCTTAGATTTCTCATAATATTCGTCACGCGCTGCACTGCATGGGGAATAAAACAATTTACAGTTACGCAAGCAACCAATAAACTATCGGCGACAAATGGATGTTAAATTCATTTATTAAATATTAAATGCACGTGCTCTTGTATTTCTAATTTTTCCGGCCTAGCTTTCTCATAATATTCGTTACGCGCTACACTGTACGGGGAATAAAACAATTTACAGTTATGCAAGCAACCAATAAACGATCGGCGACAAACACTTAAGCCGCTTATATATATATAGATTAATTATTGTGCTTATCATCCTTAATGCGGCATGTTCATACTCAGTAGCAAACCTACAGTTTTAGGAAAATTGAAATTGAAGAGGAGGAAAAAAAAAATAATGATAAAAAAATTCTGAATTTCAATATATATATCAACTAATTGAAATCTGAATAATCAAAGTGCTGTTATATATTGGAGATTTTCTGTGCTGTTATATATTGGAGAAGTCCTGCATGAATTTGTCAGTTTTGAGTAGTTACCTAACAATATAAAACACTTTCTTTTGTTGTAAATAATCTTAAGCAGTTTTGATGAATAAAGTTAAGTAAATAATATATTACTGCCTAGGAAATTCTGTTTCATATGTTGAAATCAGATATATAAACAGTTGCAGTTAATAAGTAATTCAGCCAAATCTGAATTTGTAGAATTTTAGGAAGAATTTTTACAGTGTGAGTATAAGGTCAAATGTGACTGTGATACTGTGAATGTAAGATAAGGTGTAATTTATAATTTGAACAGTCTTTTAGGCGTTTTAGATAAATTATAAGTGGTTTTCTTTTGAACAAGGAAAAAAGTTATTTAATTTTTTTAATCTTTCAGCATGAAATTCTTGCTCAAGTTGATAGAGATGTCATGATGGAAAAAGAAGTTGAACATTCAGAAGGTATGTATGTATAGGCCAGATGAATTGGGAAACTTAAAATGTTATTTAAAAGAATGACAACTCTTACAGGCAAAATAAACAACTATAAAGAGTTTGAGGGAAATTGAGATGAGGTAAAATTTTCCTTAGCTCAGAAATTATTACAGGTCATCAAAATTACTCATAGAATAAAGTCTAAAGCAGGGCTTCTTAAAATGTTTTCAGTTGCGACCCCTTTTTATCACTGATATTTTTTTTGTGACTCCAGGACCCCATAAGCATAGCACAAATCTGACACACACAAGTGAAACTATCAATTTTTTCACTTGTCAAAAGTCATGATGTACAAGATGAACAAGTATCATCTAAACTTGATCCGGACTCGTCGGGACTTTGGCGATTCCGGATTATCGATTTTTCCAGATTATAGATCATCAGTTTAAATCTGGTAAGATGGCATGAAATTAAAAATTAAAAATATGAAACCATAATTATGAAATAAAGAACAATTAGGATTAAAGCAGGGATGTAAAAACTCATAGTACACTTGGGCCAAAACAAACAAGGTTTAACTTTGGCGGGCCGAAAAAAACAAAAAATTCAATATTATAGAAAGTAGATTATTTCAATAATACATAATAAAATATATAATATTTATATAGAAAAGAACAAGAAAAATTAAATGTTTACGTCCTGATACTTGACATTTCTTCTCTGCTTTATCTTTCCTATTTCGGGAGAAATTTTGTTGCAGTGATAACTTCAACGCGACCCAAGATGAGCATCATTAATACGGTTTAATAAGAGACTTTACCTTTCATGAATGAAAAATAACTGCTCGCACCGATAAGTGTACCAAACATGGAAATAATTTCATATGCGAATTTTCGAGTATTTTCAAACCTGGCTTACCAGCCAGGTAAAATTAAAGCCAGTACGTTCGTAAAATTCAGGCACGCCCATTCATGAATTTTGCTTTCAATTTGATTGCGTTGAATCTCGATCACCTCCATTTGCATATGGCTGGGTACTGATCAATATTTTGAGAAAATCGAAGAAAAAACAAAAAAAATTTGTCTTCGAGGGAACTAAATCATTAAACCTCGTTTCAAATTCAGTTGTTAAATTTGCAATATTTTCTGCGTATTTTTGATACAAACAAGATCATCTAAACTTGATTGTTCAGTGCACGCGGGAAGTGCGTCAAATCTTCATTTTTAAGTTGTTTTTCCCAAAGAACTAGTTGACATTTGAATGCTTTAATTATGTCAAACATGTTCGTAATGATATGATCTTTTCCGTGTAACAATAAATTTAAATCGGTTAAGTGTTTGGTTATATCAACCAAGAAAGATAAATCTTGTATCCATATTGGATCATAAAACAAACTTACGTCTTGATTTTCGTTTTTAAAAACTGACATATTCTTCTTTCAAATCCCAGAATTGTTTGAGAATCTTGGAGCAAGATAACCAACGTACCTCGGTATAGTAGGACAGACCCGAATATTCACTATCTAACTCACTTAAGAAAGCAGTGGAATTGACGCGATTTAAGCCTCGAGATCTTATACAATTTATAACTTTTTTATATATGACAAAACATTCTCATATTTATTACTTCGTGCATAGAAATTCTTGTGTATAATACAATGCGTATGATGAATGTTTGAACCGTGAATTTCGCTAAATTTTTTTTTAGTAATGCTATGAAGCCTTTGTTTTCCCGGTCATTGATGGAGCGTATCTCTTAGCTACAGAATTAATTTTGCCAAGGTAGATTTTATTCTGCAGAAGTCCAAAAACACAAGTAAATATATCTTCTCCTGTGGTAGTACCAGGAATCGGTATTAGTTCCAGTAATTCCTCAAAAATGTTAAATTCTTGTCACAAGAACGAAGAAAACACTGCTAATTGAGCTTTGCCACTAATGTCCGTGCTCGTCACAGGCAATGGAGAAACTTTCGAAAATAGATGATTTGTTTTCACTGATCACTTAAATTCGCGGCTAAATCTGTAACTCTTTCCGCAACTGTATTTCGAGACAATGAAATTGATTGAAAAGCCTTCACATCCAGGCAAACAATTCTCCAGCTTTCATTAGGCATTCCTTGATGAAATCACCGTCAGTAAAAGGCTTCGAATGTTTAGCTATCAACTCAGACAAGACGTAGCTTGCATGTACGCCGCTTCACTTTCTTGCAATACTTTACTAAACATGGACTGTTGCTTTTCACTCCTAACTTGAGCTCTTTTCACTTTCTTTCTCAGAATCCTTGTAATTGTTATATTTCGATTTTGTTGTTGTAATGCGTTTAATATTTTAACTTGGTACTTAAGAGTTATTACATATCAAGCAGATTATTTATCTTTATTTCACAGCAAAAATATTCTAATTCTCATTTTACTGGAATTTCTTGTCGTCAGCGATTTTTCGTTAATTTTACTACCACTTGGTTTGATATAGGACATACTGAATACAAAGGGCTGGAATAAACATGTTAACGTTAAAAGTTAACAAAAAATTATTCTTCCACAAGAGATAAATCAAAAATGCTGAAAATATTTCTTCAAAAAATATTCTAACAATATCACAAAATGTCAAACGTTTAGCAAAAATCAATTCAAAACAGAGAAAACTAATTTATCTCACAGCGAATCGCTACAAATCAATCACAGCATTAAGTAAAAAACAGTCGCTAGAACTACAGCTGCTACTGAGATGAGTTGTTTGTTCTCGGCTTTTATAAGCTTTATAATTAATTTCTCGAATATACTGGAAACATCTATAAATATCTGGTTTTTGTGGATGGCAACAGCAATACGAGAAGTTATTATTAGTATTAAATGCACGTGCTGTTTTATTTTTAACCTTCCAATGCAGCTGTCTTTTCAAAAATCGTCTGCGTTGCTAAAGCAACATGAAGCAAATCTAATTACAATTCTAAATAAATAAATAAATAAATAAAAAACTAATAATAAATAACTATGAAATCGTAACCTATGAATTAGAATAATTAATAATAAAGAAAGTGCAGCAATGCATGCACCAATATATCGTACAAAACTATGATTGGAAAAACTGAGGACCATGAGTTCGGCTATCGGGGGATGCGTACAAGTTTGAGTGCACGTGTCCCCCAAAAGCGAAGGTAGCTGAATGCAAGCTACTCACACGCATTTGTAATTTAAGTAGTGTGTGTGTCAGCTCGCTGTGAGTAATCTAACAACATGAATAACTTATCATTAATTACTTAGCAATAAACATTTCATTTTTTTCTTCGTCGATATGTATTTTATTATTATAATTATTATTTGCCGAATATTGGCCGGGCCGGCAAAAATATTGGTTGTGGGCCGCATGCGACCCGCGGGCCACGAGTTTGACATCCTTGCACTAAATAAATATGTAAATAACAACAATACACAACACTACAAAAATACATAAAAGCTAAAATTTGGGCAGAATACATTTTTCAAAAAGATTACAGCATGATGTTTATGTAAGAAAGTGAGCATAGTTTATTCTAAATGGATAACTAAAGACATTATTTTTAAATTTGATTTAGACATGCACTTCGGTACAGTGTTTACAAAATAAAAAAATTAATTTTATGTTAAAACAATTTGCAGAACAGTTTTGAAATGCAATTAACTTTATATATGACTGAAAAATATATAAATATAAAATATGGGTATGTTTCGGATTGAGTCCGATAACTATATTAAGTTAACCCTACGAAATATAAATTATCATTTGAGCTATAAAAAATCAATGAATTTATTATTATATATTGGAATTAATATATATTGGCCGGGCCGCAACAATTTGTTGTAGGCCGCAGTGGCGCGTGGGCGCGAGTTTACATCCTTGATCTAAAGGGTATCAAAATTACAAAAAAAGTTTAATATTGTTTGTTATTTATTAAAACATTCTTCAAATGTAAGTTGTTTAATTGCTTCATTTTATGTGATAATACTTTTCTTTAATTCTATAAACCAGACAATTCTTCTTCAGTTACGAAGTTCCGTGTTGAAGTCTATAATTGCTGTGTCGAGAATACCGACAATTTGTCAATCGAAAATTTTCGTTTTCAAAAACCTGGGAACCTCTTCAATAACCCCCCGCCGCAGAGCAGGTGAAATTGATAAAGAGATTTTGGAGGTTAGATAAACAACGGATTATGGTTATCCATTTTTGCACAATTCCACTTTTTGTTAATGCACATCGAAACATACTTTCAACTTTGTATATCCTTTAACATATTAGTAAATATATATTGGAAATTCTATTTGACATAATCGAAGGTTCAAGCTTACTTTTTTAAAATTGCTCTAACAGTCTACAAAAAATAATAAGCCAAACCAATCGAAGATTAAGGAAAACACAATCTGCAAGATAATGAATTAGATAATTTAGCTAGTTTATACATCCGTTATACATTAAACGCGCATTCGTAAACGTATTTTGTACAAGCGCACACGCATATTCGCAGCCATAAAGGTCTTACGCGCATGCATCTGCGCAGAAGGTTTGTAGCTTTGAGGTCCGTATTATAGATCATTCCGGATTATGGGTGTCCGAATTAACGTCTTTTGACTGTATACTACTGAAGTTTTATGTTATATAACTTTGATTTCTAATTTTAAGACATAGAACAATGGGGAAATTTTAAATAAGTAACAGATGAAATGATAGCATCACGTACAAAGCAAGTAAAATGAACGTTTATATTATAAAAAGAATGTGTCGAAACCTTTTCATTTTTCTTTGTCTGTATTATCTTATCTTTGTCTATTTTCAGATACATTGTGTAAAAAGATTGGGCAATTGTAAAATTATTATAATAAGTTAAGAAAATATCAAAACTGCTAAAATGTTTGGCGACCCCCTACTGCAGGTCTCATGACCCACTGTTTAAGAACCTCTGGTCTAAAGTAATACTCATTAAGTGAGAATTATATGTATGTTTATAAAATTAAAGGAAAAAATAGTAAATAATTTTGAACCAATTCATTCAA